ATCATGGAGAAGGTCTATTGCCACTATTTTGTGAAGCTGGTGGAAGGACCCCCACCCCTACCCGAAGCACCCAAGACAACAGTTGACCATGCCAAAGAGTATATTCAGCAACTTCGAAGCCGGACTATCATCCACACTCTGTGACGGTCATTCTGGCTCCACAGTGTATATAGCTTATGTTTATTTTAAACAGTAAAAACAAGTGGTTTTTATGCTTTATCATTGAATTTTTGAAGTGCAATATGTAACTGCAAGGTTTTTTTTTTTGTGAGTGTGTGGGAGTTTACATACATGTGTGTGGATGTGTATATCCGGGTGTGCATGTGCAGAGGCCAGAGGATAATGTTTTTGTTTCATTTTTTTCAAGGTAAAGAGGATTTGAACCAACCTTAGCATTGCATTCTAAAACCAGACAGTAGGTGGCGCTCTCATAGCAGAAATCAATATCAAAGTAGTAGTGCCTGGCCCTCATAGATCCCTTTCCTCCTCCCCCTCTTCCTCCCTCTTTCTTTGTCCCCCCCACCCCTGTGAAGAGTGACCTTAGTATTTTGATATGATTGCTTCATCTGTACATTACTCCTTATAGTAGAAACAGTTGAACCAAAATCCTCAATTCCAAGCTTATTTCTTTATTTACTTATTTTTTAAAACTTCTTTAGCTTCTCTTCAGTGTAACTACTAGCAAAGATCTTGGTAAATGACAAAGTCCCTTTACATACTAAGTTTGGGCCAGGCTAGACAACATGGTACAGATAGCCACAGTAACGAAAGCAGCATGATAGTAATATATAAAAACCTCAGATAAACAGAGAAATAGGCAAGACAGATACCCCAGGATAAACTCACTTATCTGCAGCACTGGCTTATAGCCATGGTAGGCCAATGCTTTACCACTCAGGTACTTGTTAGAACTGTCAAACCATACATTATGAGCAGTTGCTAAGAGTGCTTGCTGCTCCTGGAGAGGACCTGAGTTTGCTTTCCAGCATTCACATGGTGGCTCACAACTGCTTGCAACTCCAGCTGTAGAGGTATCAGCACCCTCTTCAAGCCTTTGAGGTTACTTACACTCATGCACAAACACATATTTAAAAATAAAATGCATCCTTAAGAAAATACTGTACTTCATGAATTTCTCAGTTTTAAACTACCTTTTATAGCCAACATATTCTCTTTAAAGAATTTTTTTTGAGATTATGTATACAGATGCATTTCCAGTGTGTATTATCTACACCATGTGTGTGCGGTACCTGCAGAGTTCAGATGAGGGCTTTGGATGGAATTACAGATAGTTGTGAGCCTCCAGGTGGGTGCTGGGAATTGGACCTGGGTTCTCCTCAAGAGCAGCTAATGCTCTTGACTGTGGTGCTATGGCTTAAACCTCTCCATATATTCTCAACAAAGGTGAGGTGCCAGAAACAAGCAGAAATGACAGGTAAGGTGTGGTGGTAGGGAAGCAGGGTGTGTACATGCAGAAGAATAAAATGTCCATCTCTCAACCTGGGCAAAAAACGACTCAAGTGCGGCTAGAAACTGGAGTAAGAGAAAAATAAAGTTCAAGATGCTGGTAAGGTGATGCCGAGAAACAGGAGTCTACATGTGGACACTGGTAAGGGGGTGCCGAGAAATAGGAGTCTACATGTGGACACTGGTAAGGGGGTGCTGAGAAACGAGTCCACACGTGGACACTGGTAAGGCGGTGCCGAGAAAAAAAAGTCTACACGTGGCTTCTGACAGACTAACAGGTTCCAAATAGGCAGAGAGTCACCAGGTGAGCAGAATTCTCAACGAGAAGAGGGCAGGCTTCACATCCACAGAGAACAGAAAGGAATCCAAATTTAGTCCATTGAGGTATCAAATGTCTTTAATCCCAGCACTCAGGAAGCAGAGGCAGATCTCTGTGAATTTGAGATCAGTGTGGTCTACATATTTAATTCTAGGCTAGCCAAGGCCACCAGTGAGACCCTGTCTTAAAAAAAAAATACAGTGTTTAAAGTAGGCAAATGATCTGAATATTCCTTTGTGAAAAAGGAAATACCAGTAGCCCACATGTAGATGAGAACCAGTGTCATTAGGACTGCCCTCGGGTCCAGCCCTGTCCCTGCTGGGGATACACAGAAGGGGTGTCTGCACATGACCGAGACATACTGTTCATACCTGCAGTCAAGAGGGGACAGCTTTTCACGCAGGAAGCCAAAGATATCCTGTTTACAGCAAAATGTGTGACAGCCGAAGGCCCTGGGTCTGGTAATGAGAGACTGAGCTTTCTCAGGTGTGGAAACTGAGGACGAACAGAAAGTAATCACCAGGAATCGGGAAGGTCAGCACACATCCAGTCTATAGGTGCGGAGATTGAACTCTGCAAATGAAGACAAAGGCTACGCATGCTCCCAAGGATATCACACGCATGCAGACAATGTCTTGAAACCACTTACATAATTAAAGTATGCTAATGCAATTAACAGGAAAATGTACAACTGGTATGTGTCAACAGAATGAAAAACGTCAAATTCTTTCTAAAAATTCTCAATGGTACTCATGGTGAAGTGCAGGGCCATGGGGCTGCACAGTACCAGGCAGCTAGATGCTGAGCGGGGGTGGGGGATGTGGGGGGAGCAGCACTGTGGGGTGCTGTGCTACAGCGCTCAGAGCTGTGGGTCCCTCCTTAGTCTTTGCTCAAAAACTCTTTATTTCCCTTGACTGTTGTTAAATGCCTTCTCTGGACCAGCAGGGGGGTTCTCAGGAATTTCACACGGGATTGCTATGCTGGCGATGAAATAAATAAGGAAGCAAAACAGGATGGGAAGACCCTCACAAAGTAGAAAGACAGGAAGCCCCTCCCGCTTCCTAGGTTAAGATGTTTAAAGAAAGAATTGCCAAAAGCTAGACCCGGGAAGTCAGTCCTGTTGTGCTGGGACTCTAAGGAAAAGCCTGAGGGGGCTGACTGCCCAGTCTTGGCAGCACGCAGGAAAACCACCTGGCTTTGTGCCAAGTCTGCAGCTTTCTTGGCAAAAAGGGTTTTTATAATTTCAAAATTATTTCTGATGAAGAGTTTGTCCATTTTGTCTCCAAGTTTGCCAGGATGCGTCTATGTGCACTGTTTCCGTCTGTGTTTGCAATAGTCAGAATAATGCAATGTGCCCTAGCCCCAAAGACACCTATATAGTCATCCCCAGAATACCAAAAGTGCCAGGTTACAAAGGGGATGGAAACCTGCCGGTGAAGGTAAGTGCACGGTGTTGTTCCTTTGCGGAACTACAGTTCCCAGCGTTCTCCTGGATACGGACATATTCCCAGAAGCCTTTGTATTCCTCCTTAAAAAGCGAGGGTCCTACGACCCTACGACCCCACTCTCTTTCTCTCTCCCTCTCCCTCCCCCCCCTCCCGCCTTTCCCATCGTGTCCGCACACCCCTTACCTGCCTGTTACCCCTCCCCCATTAAAGTGCACCCACGTGGGACCACCGCGTGTCTGTGTCTTCTTCCTCGCATAACGTCTTTACCTTCTAACCCGCAGAATTAAGAACAGCACACGGTGTGTGCGTTTTTGGAGAGTTGGTCTGGTTTTTTATTTTTTAGCAATCACAGAAGTTTTAAAACTAGAAGAGGGGGGCAGAAGGGAAAAGCAGAGTGAGTTGTGGTCACTGAAGAGGGGTCAGAGAAATGCAGCTTGGCTAGCTTTGAAGAGGGCCAAGGAATCTGAGAAGCTTCTAGAACTAGCAAGACAAACATTCTCCTTCAGCTTTGCTGATGTCTAGCTAGCTGTCTTTTTTCTTCCTTCCTCCCTTCCCCACTTCCTGACTTTCTTGAGATAGTCTCAACTAACAGGAGCTAACTTGAAACTACTTGACCTTGAATTTCTGATCTTCCTGCCTCAACCTCCCAAGTGAGGTCCATGCCACCAAGCCCAGCTTATGCAGTGCCAAGGATGGAACCAATGGCTTCATGAGTGCCAGGCGAGCACTCTCCCCACTGGGCTACAGTCCTGCAGATGTCTTGAATTTTGCCTAGTGGAACTCTGGTTGAATTTCTTAACTGCAGCACCATAATGCATTTGCACTGCCTAGCTTGTTACAGCATCAATCGGGAATCACCATGCTGTTTAATGCTTATATCTGTGGTGATACTGTTTTCATTTCAGTATTGGCAACTTTTCTTTTCCTGGATGAATGGAACTCAATTGGGGCTATTCCCCTCGCCCATTCAGAGGGATTCAGATGCCGGGGATGCTTCTAGTCACCCTGACAGGTCCTCTCGCAGTGAGAGCCACCTGTGTAGGGGAAGGGACCTAGAGGCAGACAGCATAATTTCTAGGTTATAAAGCTCAGTGGAGCCTCGTGGGTGATTCATGCACCAATATGCTTGGAGGAGGGCATATCCTGATTCCAGGGAGGAGGGAGGCATGCTCCGTGCTCCCTCCTAGACCTGCCCTATGCATTCTTTTTTCAACGAAACTGAAGTTGTGATCTAGCACGCTCTGGGGTCCTGAGAGCTAGTCTAGCAAATTGCCAAGCCTGAGCGAGCAAGTATTTATTTATTTATTTTTTAATTAATTAATTAATTTATTTATTCCTATGTGGGACGTGGAGATTCCCTGAGAGTCCATAATGAGTTAATGAGGAGACGCAGAGAGTTTTGGAAAGTCTGCACCCAGGACAGGGGTGTAAAGAAAGCACATTGGTTTCTTATCGCCACAGAGACTGGTTGTGTAGGTGGTGGAGCAAGGTCATGAGGGGGTTTGTGGGCTCTGAGATCTGGTTCAGCTCTTGGATGGCATAAATACAGCCTCGGGGGCTAGATTAAATGACCCCCTCCTTGGACACTGCATCCTCCTGCCCAGATTTCCTGTACCTCATCATTGAAACAAAAGCAGGGCGACCCAACTGTATGGCCCCGGTGGCTTTCAGTTTCTATGCCTAGGAACCATTACATAATGAGACGTTTACTTTCATTTTCATGTTTCTGGGAGTTCCTACTCTGCTTTGTTGGTATGACTCCCTTCCCGATGTTGGCCAGACTCCTGTGAGGGTAGGGCAGCAGCTAGGGATAAACTTCAGAGCTCTTCAAACACAGCCTGGCTTCTTCTGCAGAAGTCACACAAACGCAGCTCATCTGGATTCCTGAGTCAAGTCAGATCTGTACAGGTCTGTGTGCTCTTACTGTGCCTGATGCCGTGGGAGCTCTTCACTGGATCTGTTCTCGGCTCTTCCAGCGGGAAGGTTAGGAGCTCAACTCTACTACCAGAAATCTCTTTTTCTCAAGGGAGCTGGTGAGTGAGAAGATAGATATTTGTAATTAACACAGGTCTACAAATAGGATTGTAGGCTGTAGGTCCGAGGGTGGAACAGCCTGCATGCCTAATGTGGTTGGGGTTGCCAAGGACTTAGGCTGAGGGGCAGGATGGGTGGAAGAAGACAGCTAAAAGCCATTCAGAGAACTTAATATCTGTACTATTTTCAGAAGGCATTCATAGCCAGGCTATAGAAAAGCCGGGGGGTCAAAGGATAGGGACTGTATACTGGAAACATCCGGCACTAGACGTCTCCTAATCCCCTATGAATTATCTAAACACCATTGATTTGGAGGACAAGGAGCATTCTCTAACCACAAACTCAAGAGTTCATGTGTCTTCCTGAACTTAGATTTCTATACCAAGATGTGGGCTTGACCTCTGAGAAGAACTCTGTCTTCAGAACGTCAACCTTGAACCCCAGCTCTGATTTTAGGAGACAGTAGGACTCCCCTCCTTCATGTCTCCCAATTTCTCAGTTTCTTTTATTCTTAATCTTAAGGTGGAGGGAGCTGGGTGCTTGCCTAGCATGCACAAGGCCATGAGTTCAATTCTTAGACTCCTACAAAAAAAAAAGTGCTTACTTTTAAGGTAGAAGTCATTACATTGTGTTTACAGGGTTGTTAGGACAGAGAGAAAGAGTGTGTGCAGAAGCGCGCTCCCCTCCCCAACATAGGACACTACTTTCCCTCTCATTTTGCTCCTGCTTCTCAGTGGATAGATGCACTCCCAACAGTTAGAAGAGAAGGTTCTGGGAGTTCACTCTTCTTATCCTCAGACTTGCTCATTCTCACACTAAGTACATTTTCACAGAGTTGCTGCAGGGTGGGATAGTTGCTACTCTATACACATGTTGGATGCTTGAGAAGTCCCTGTCTTAACCTGGTCCTTAAAAGTCCAGCTTCTAAGGAATCCCTCTCAGGGTTCAATTAAAGACACCAAAAAAGGCGAAGGGGGCTTGAATCTGAGGGTTAAGAAATCTACTCACAATAGGTTCTTTCTATCCATGTCTCTTTATTCTTCTCCTTATTCCTTCTTTTTCTCCCTCCAATACAAACATTTCCAGTCATATATACCCTTATAACCAGCAATTCCCCAGCCCTATCAGGTTCCAGGGATGGAGTTCTTTTGCCCCATAAAAATCAGATATGAGTTTTCACACACACACACACACACACACACACACACACACACACACACAGAGAGAGAGAGAGAGAGAGAGAGAGAGAAAGAAAGAGAGAGAGAGAGAGATCCCTGGCTGTCAGCTCAAAGGTGGGAGTGGCTAGTACTCATCAGGTGAACTCCTTAATGGAGAAAGTTAGTTAAGAAAGGAATTAAATCTCCAGGGAATCCTAGAGGGGAAGGCTAGTGTGCTATGCTAGATTTTTAGGTGATTAGTAAAGAGCTAAAAGTTTATTTTCAGTAAAATTATGAATGGGGGACGGAATGGTTTTTCTCTCTCTCTCTCTTTGGTTTTTCAAGACAGGGTTTCTTTGTAGCTTTTGGAGCCTGTCCTGGAACTAGCGGCTGGCCTTGAACTCACAGAGATCCACCTGCCTCTGCCTCCCTAGTGCTGGGATTAAAGGCGTGCACCACCACTGCCCTGGCACACGGACTGTTTTTTAAATCAGTGTGCCGCTTTTTTTATCCCAGCATACATATAAGATATCAAGTAACTAGGCAACCTATGAAAACAGTTAGGGGGACGCTAATGGCTCCAGATCTGATTAGCACATTCACTAGATGCTGCAATTTCTACCAGCCTAGGTCTGGAGTTGACACTGCCCTAAGTGGTAGAAACAAGGAGGAGACCCAGGCCTCTAACAAGCAACTGCCAGCGAGGCCCCAGGAGAAGTGCCTCCTCCCACACTGTAGCCAGAGAATTTTCTTCAGCCTGCCCTGTGCCCCAACACCTATCCTGGTGCTGGCTTGGTTTCCCGAGGTAGCAATTTCACCCCTTCTCTATGAGGTTCTGCATAGAGGGTTTGTATCCCATTTCACTATGTTTAGTCCTAGACTTGTGATTTTTTTCTTGTGTCCTGTGTCATAAATCTTCTGTGACCTGAGAGGTCTTGGCAGATCCAAAGGGACAGAGGGTTCATCTTGGTGAGACTGACAATGTCCTCCTCAACCCCTACTCACACTGTCTTCTACCTGTGAGACATTCTTCAGAATTCAGTCCCCCAGGTGCCTGGCTTCCTGGGATGTGTTTGGACTCTTTCTACACACGCTGGAGCAGGGTAAGGAGGGGGCTCAGTGCAGGTGAAAATCCCATTGAGCCACAAGATGCCTCAGAAGGTCAAGGCACTGGACACCAAGCCTGATGACTTGAATTCAGTCTCTAGGCGCTGCATGGTGGAAGGAGAGAGCCAACTCTCACAAGCTATTTTACCTCTGCTTGTACACTCCACCCCTATATACCCCTATATACACACAAAATAAATAAAATCTAATTTAAGGGAATCTCATTAAATATCCCAGAGGGATTTCTTCTTTTTTTAAAAAAATTAATATTTTACTTTTTAGAGAAGTTTTAGTTCTACAGAGAAATCAAGAGAAAGGTAGTGACTTCTTACAGACTGCAGTCCCCACACATGCATGGTCTCCCCATAGACTGCAGTCCCTACACATGCATGTTCTCCCCATAGACTGCAGTCCCTACACATGCATGCTCTCCCCATAGACTGCAGTCCGACCCCCTACACATGTGTGGTCTCCCCATAGACTGCAGTCCCCACACATGCATGCTCTCCTCATAGACTGCAGTCCCAACACATGCATGCTCTCCCCATAGACTGCAGTCCCCCCTACACATGTGTGGTCTCCCCATAGACTGCAGTCCCCACACATGCATGTTCTCCCCATAGACTGCAGTTTGTACACATGCATGCTCTCCTCATAGACTACAGTCCCCCCTACACATGTGTGGTCTCCCCATAGACTGCAGTTCGTACACATGCATGCTCTCCCCATAGACTGCAGTCCCTACACATGCATGGTCTCCCCATAGACTGCAGTTCGTACACATGCATGGTCTCCCCATAGACTGCAGTCCCCCCTACACATGTGTGGTCTCCCCATAGACTGCAGTCCCCACACATGCATGCTCTCCCCATAGACTGCAGTCCCCCCTACACATGCATGCTCTCCCCATAGACTGCAGTCCCCCCTACACATGCATGCTTTCCCCATAGACTGCAGTCCCCCCTACACATGTGTGGTCTCCCCATAGACTGCAGTCCCCACACATGCATGTTCTCCCCATAGACTGCAGTTCGTACACATGCATGATCTCCCCATAGACTGCAGTCCCCACACATGCATGGTCTCCCCATAGACTGCAGTCCCTACACATGCATGCTCTCCCCATAGACTGCAGTTCTCCCTACACATGTGTGGTCTCCCCATAGACTGCAGTCCCCCCTACACATGTGTGGTCTCCCCATAGACTGCAGTCCCCAGACATGCATGCTCTTCTCATAGACTGCAGTCCTCACATCTGCATGGTCTCGTCCATCACCAGCATCCTCACCAGAATGGTGAACTGTCGCTGTCAGGTTGTGGCCCAGAGACTATGTGACAGTTCCCTCCAGGTCGTCTTCATCCAGATGCATCTCAGCATACACCCACTTACGATGTCCCACTGAGTATTTTTACTGCCCACGATCCTTTGTGTTGCCTTTTTGCTCAGGCTTCCATGAGGGCCAACCATGGACTTGATTTTCCCATAACTTTGCCGTATCTGGAAGGTCACTCAGCATGTGTGATGTGCTGCAGAGGTCACGTAGCCTTTGTAAGTGACTTTTCTCCCCCTAGTCTTTTCATGGCTTAACAGTTCCGCTCTTGGACTTCTGAATAGTACATGGTCATCTTGGGGATTCCACATCTTCCTACCTCATTCACTTACCAAAGGGTGTCCTGGCTATTTCCCAGGTTTGTAATTATGAATAAACCATCCAGACACATCTACATGTATGTTTTTTGTGGGAACAAACATGAAAATGTATAGGAGTACATATGTCGACTGTGTTTAGTGCTAAAGGAACTGCCATGCTGTCTTCAGAAGTGAGTGTTCCATTTTCTTTTTTTTTTCTTTTTTTTGTATTTTACTTGTGGTATTTTGAGACAGGGTATCTTTATGTAGCCCTGGATGTCTTGGAACTCGCTATGTAGACCAGGCTGGTCTTGAACTTAGAGGTCAGCCTACCTCTACCTCTCAAGTGCTGAGATTAAAGGTGGGTGCTACCAGCGCCTGGCAGGGTCACAGTCTTTTATTGAATGTGACTTTGCAAGTGTTTTCTCCCACTTTGTGATCATCTTGCCAGTCTCCTGGTAATATTTGTCTTTTATAGAGCAGTAGTGGGGTTTACTGCTAGGATTTATTTTAATTTGTGCATATGTGTTTGTCTTCATGTGGGTATGTGCATGCGAATGCAGTGCCCTCAGAGTCCAGAAGAGGGTGTCAGATCCCCTAGAGCTGTAGTTATAGGTGGTTCTGAGCCACCTGATCCAGGTACTGGGGACTTGGACTTGGTCCCATGTAAGAACAGCGAGTGCCCTCAACTGCTGTCATCTTTCCACCTGGGCTCTATTTCATATTGTTCTGTCTCTGCTCTTTTAGCAGCCTCATATCATCTTCTAACTCTATGGTAAGCCTTGATTTTCGTGTGTATGTGGTAGAGAGGGTTGAACCCAGGGCCAGGTGCGAGCTAGGCAAATACTGTGCCTCTGTTACACTCTCACTTTGCAGGACACCTCCAAGCCAGGCACTGTCACCCCATGAGTGGGCTGCCACACGGTGCCACTTCTCCTTCCGCTTATTAGAGGGAGATGTGTCCAAACTTTTTTTCCCTCAAATGATAATCAAAGTAAAACAAGATGGAGAATAACATAGGTTTAAAAGTTTGGATTGAGAAAGCAGATCTTGAAATTAACGAGCAGTTTCTTGGGGAAGCAAAGCAGGCAAGTCCTGGAAACATCGATGAACAGAGCAGGGCAAGGCTCCTAGTCCTTGTGTGAGTTCCGAGAGCAGCTTCTGCCCTAAGGCAGAGTTGCGCCCTTCCCTGCTATACTAACCTTTGACCTTCTTTCCCACTTCTGCCTTCCCTCCAGTGTCTTTCCGCTGCCATGGGTCAGACTTCTTCCACATCTGATGCAAATGCCCACAATATGGCCTCCAGCTTTAATGCATTTTTCAAAACTTTCAAGATGGAAAGCAAAGTCATTTCTGAGGAGACCATCAGTTCAGTCCAGAGGTTTATAGAGCAAGGGGACATACAGAAGACAATTTCTACAATCAATGCTGCTTTGGCAGAGGTCGAGAAGGCCCCTCTGAGCATTGCCGTGACGGGGGAGACGGGGGCAGGAAAGTCTACTTTCATCAATGCCCTGCGGGGCATAGGACATGAAGAGACTGACTCAGCTAGGAGCGGAGCGGTAGAGACGACAATGGTTAGAGAGAAGTATACCCACTCGAAGTTCCCTAATGTGACCATCTGGGATCTCCCTGGGGTCGGCTCAACTACCTTTAAACCAGAAGAATATCTGAAAAAAATGGAGTTCCAGGAGTATGACTTTTTTCTCATCATCTCAGCCACTCGCTTTAAAGAGAACGATGCCCAGTTGGCCAAAGCCATTAAAAAAATGAAAAAGAATTTCTATTTCGTTCGGACAAAAATTGATAGTGATTTGTGGAACCAGAAAAGATGTACACCCAAGACCTACAGTAGGGAAAAAACCCTGGAGACTATCCGGAAAAACTGTGTGGAGAATCTCCAGAAGGCCGGCACGGCCTTCACGCATGTCTTTTTAGTCTCTAGCGTTGAGGTAGCCTGTTTTGATTTTCCTCTCTTGGAGTCCACCCTTTTGAAGGAGCTGCCGGCGCACAAGCGCCACATCTTCATGCAGTGCCTCCCTAACGTAACCGAGGCAGCTATTGACCGCAGGAAAGACGTCCTGAAACAGAAGATCTGGCTGGAGGCTCTGAAGTCTGGAGCATCGGCCACCATCCCTCTGATGGCTTTCTTCAAGGATGACATTGAGGAGCTGGAGAAGACCCTGAACCACTACAGGTCTTGCTTTGGGCTGGATGACAAGTCACTGGAAAACATGGCCAGGGATCTGTCCCTGCCTGTGGAGGAGCTTGAGTCCACCGTTAGGTCACCTCATTTGCTGTCCTGTGAGACGGGTGAGTCTGTGGGGGACAAGCTGGTGAAATACCTGGAGAAAGTGTTTGCCGTCACCGGCGGACTCATAGCCACGGGCCTTTACTTCAGAAAGAGCTACTACCTGCAAAATTATTTTCTTGACATAGTGACTGATGACGCTAAGATTCTACTGAAGAAGAAGGTTTTCTTAGAGGGGCGTGAGGACTCTGAGCGAGGCTGTAAAGATGGGGAAACTGGAAAGACGGCTTAGGGTGTTCCTGAAGCACCCTGGCCAGGCTGTGAGAACTTGTAAGACTTGGTGACCCTTGTTGGGAAAGCAGAGGACTCTGGAATGTTATGCTGTGTGGCAGTCATGTCGTGGCTAGCATGAGTCTTAGCAAAAATATGCCGGCACAAACTTTCTGGGCACAAAGTTTTCAGTAATGAGTTTTTTTTTTTTTTTTTAAGGGTCTCACTATGTAACCATGACTATCCTAGAACTCTCTGTAGACGATTCTGGCCTTGAACGCACACAGAAATCTCCCTGTCTCTCTCTCTCTGCCTCTTGAGTGGTAGGATTAAAGGTGTGTACTACCACACCTGGAAGAAATGATTTTTTTTAAAATTCATGTACCCATGGCTTGCCTTGCCTTTGTGTGCTCTACTGAGCACACTCATGAGATGAAGGACGTCTCTGTTCCTCTTATGGTTGGGATCTGTTCAGTTCATATAACAGAGGAACAGAAGACAAAAGAGAACCCGTGTCTGAGTGGAAGTGTTTTTTAAAGTACTTCCTCAGAGGTGCAAGGACACAAGACAGGGATGTAGTCTTAGATTTGCACACAGGAGGTTCAGATACTCCTCACATGTTTTTTTTTTTTTTTTTTTTTTTTTTTTTTTTTTTTTTTTTTTTTTTTTTTTTTGGTTTTTCGAGACAGGGTTTCTCTGTGGCTTTGGAGCCTGTCCTGGAATTAGCTCTGTAGACCAGGCTGGCCTCGAACTCACAGAGATCCGCCTGCCTCTGCCTCCCGAGTGCTGGGATTAAAGGCGTGCGCCACCACCGCCCGGCTACTCCTCACATGTTAACAGAGAACTTTTTGTGCATGAGGGTAGGAAAAGATACTAGTGATACAAGGGGAAGTCCCCCCAAAATGTAGAAGTGTAGGGATATTTCATTTGTACTTTAATAATTAAAGCTTGCCTGAAGATCAGAGAGTAAAACAGCCCCACTGGTCAGCCTTACAGACCAGGCAGTGGCAACACACACCTTTATTTCCAGTAGCCACACTAGTTTGCCATAGAAACCAGGCAGTAGTGGTGCACACCTTTAAACCCAGCACTAGAGAGGAATATAAGATGGGAGGAGACAGGTTTCAGGCTCAGTCTCATTCTGAGGATTCCTGGAGGCAGGATCGCCATTTCAGACCAAGGTAGAGATAAGAGCCAGTGGTTGGCTGTTTTGCTTTTCTGATCTTCAGGTTGAACCCCAATATTTGTCTCTGCGGGGGCTGGAGAGATGGCTCAGTGGTTAAGAGCATTGCCTGCTCTTCCAAAGGTTCTGAGTTCAATTCCCGGCAACCACATGGTGGCTCACAACCATCTGTAATGAGGTCTTGTGCCCTCTTCTGGCCTGCAGACACACACACAGACAGAATATTGTATACATAATAAATAAATAAATATTTAATTAAAAAAATATTTGTCTCTGGGTTTTTATTAATTGTGCTACACAGAAGTTCCTTAAGTGTGTACGAAGACACGCAGTCTCTCATCCAGTGGAAGGAATGTAAATTAGAAGCCACTTCTCAACTCTTGGGTTTGGAAAAATTTTGAAGTTGAATTTACAAGTGAGAAGATTGTAGATAAACAATTTCTGTGGTGAAGTGTTGGCATCAACACAAAAAAATCATGACCCATGGTGTGGGTAGTGATGCAAACGCTGAGGAAATCACACAGTTTCTCTTTGACACTCTTTAAACATTGCAAAATTGGCAAACACGTATATTATGCTTTGCATTACTAGCTTTGGGACTTTGAGATGAATTGAGTCTAGGGTCTGGAGAGATGGCTCAGAGGTTTCAGAGTGTATATTATCCTTGTACAGGACGTGAGTTTGGTTCCCAGCACCCATGTTGGGCAGCTCACAACCCCCTGTAACTTCAGCTCTAGAGGATCTGACACCTCTTTGGACCTCCAAGGGCACCTGCCTTCACAACCACACACCCACACTGACGCACAGACACACAATGAAACATGTAAACAAATCCTTAAGAAAAGTGGGCAAGCCTTTAAACAATTGAAATGTTCCTTAGGAGGGGGTGGGGCACCCAGACGGTTGCCTGACAACCAGACAGAAGATAAGGAACAGCACCGTCTCTGCTCTGTGTTAGCCTTCCTGGATACAAATCGCTAGATGTAGACCCCAAGTGCACAGTGAGTCATTGTTGATCTATGTAAATTCAAGACAAGAATATATTTTCATACATATTCTAATGAATACAATTCAATTATTTTTTTTTTAAGTAGAGGTAGGATGCTGCATAGAAGAGCAGGATAAATGCTAGATTTTACTGAATATAAGATATGGTCATCTAGTTGGGTACTGGTAGCACCGGTCTTTAATCCCAGGAGGATCTCTGAGTTCGAGGCCAGCCTGGTCTACAGAGTGAGTTTCAGGACAGGTAGGGCTGCACAGAGAAACTCTGTCTCAAAAAACCAAGGTCAAAGAAAAAGATATGGTCATCTAAATAGCTGCTTAGTTAAAACTTCAAGATGGCATTTCTAGGAGAAGAATAAGAAACAAAACTAATTGTGCTTGTTGGCATGAGCAAAGATTATATTTTAAGACTGAAAAATACATTCATATGAAAGTAAACATCTAGTTGAACATATCTCAGGGGCATTGTTGACATAGATATGGTCTCTTTGCAGTAAGTGTGCCATTGTAGAAGCAGGCTTTGAGATCTCATATACGTTCAAGCCACACCCAATGTCTCGGACCACTTCCTTTTGCCTGTGAATCAAGATATAAGAACGCTCGACTCCTTCTCTAGCACCATGTCTGCCTGCATGCTGCCTTGCTTCCCATCCATGATGGTAATGGACTAGACCTCTGAACTATATATAAGTGAACCACCACAATTAAATGTTTCCATTGCCATAGTCTAGGTGTCTCTTCACAGCAACGGAAACCCTAACTAAGACAGTTATGGACCCAAAGAACTGAAAAAAGCTAAGGCTGTGTCAAGGGAAGCATAACATAGCTCGAGCCTATTTCTGTTGAGCATACAAACACGGGGCTGCTTTAGGACCCACGCATGTGACAAAGCGAGGGAACCTGAGACATTAGCTAAAGCCAAGAACGTCATAGGAAAACCGAGATCCAGTGGTTTCTTTGTGTAGGTAGCTTTGGAGCCTGTTCTGGAACCCACTCTGTAGATCAGGCTGGCCTTGAACTCACAGAGATCAGTCTGCCTCTGCCTCCCAATTACTAGGATTAAAGGCACGTGCCACCATGGCCCAGCTGCTTGTTTCTGAGACAGAGTCTCACTATATAGTCCTGGCTGTCCTGGAACTCACTATGTAGTCCAGACTGGCCTTACACTCACAGACCTGCCTCTCCCCCCTGAGTGCTGGGTTTAAAGGTGTGGGCCACTACCCTGGCAAAGGGAGATTTTTCTTTGTATGAAATTTCTATCAATAATTTAGATTATTCAGATACTTAAACAGCTCCATGAATGAAAAAAGAAAGAAGGAGAACATGACTGCTTCTAGGAAGGTTTATGGAGATAAAAGGAGAGTGTAGCCAGAGGCAGGGACATTGGGAAAGTCCAGAGTAAAGTCCTGAGCTGGGCCGGTATGGAGGTGGGGAAGGGGGATCCAGGAGAACAAGGGGCCAGGAGGTTAAAGGGTAGACAAGGGGGTTAGGTAACCAAAATTGAAAGAGTATCTGGGGGGAAGGACAGCCCAGCCCCTGGGCTAGAGAAGTTTAGGGTAGGGGGTAGGGTATGCCAGCTATATCATGTAACAGGTAGGGACTGTGGGATGCTAGGAGAACCTAGCAGTCAGGTCTGATTTGGTATGTGTAGGGTCCAGAAACACTGAAGAAGACCCCAGACTCAAATAGTCTCTAAAAGCAAAGAGCGTTTATTCTGCAGAAACAGCCAGGATATGCGGGGTCAGGCACTTGGACAAGATGGCGACCCTGCACACGGGTCCTTTTAAGCCTTTCGAGACAGGGTTTCTCTGTAGCTTTTGGAGCCTGTCCTAGAACTAGCTCTTGTAGCCCCGGCTGGCCTCAAACTCACAGAGATCCGCCTGCCTCTGCCTCCTGAGTGCTGGGATTAAAGGTGTGCACCACCACCGCCCAGCTACATTGTTGGGTCCGGGGGTGGGGGGTCGCACAAAGATGAGAACACCACCAAGTCTAATAAACCAGAAGCAAACTTTATTCCAGAAACCAGATCCTAGGAAAACCAGAAGCAAACTTAAAAATAAAAAAAACACCATGGGGCACAGAAGCTTATCACCTATCTGAGACCACAGCCAGAGATGGTGTCTGTTAGACTGTGGCAAACGGCCGGTTTCTGAACCCACTTTTTATAGTAGGGGCACCAAGCATTAGCTCTGAACAAAGGAAATTTTCCTGACCCACGGGTCAGTCAACATAGACCCTAAGGAGGGGAGTGAGTTTTAACGTCAATGGGTAACTAGGCAGCTATCATGAAATACGTTTTAGAGCAGATTACAGTGAAAGTCTCTAATTGCAAGAAAACAGATGTCTTTAGCAATTAGTCAGAAAAGGGACTGCTAGTAATACTAGGAGGTTAATAAATTAGAATTATTTGGTTCTTAGGTTGAGAACTTAGAAGATAGGAGAAAGTTTTTCACACTATCTCAAGGTAAAACTCAGGTACAGGCTGCCATACTTTACAACCTCCATTATCAGAGCTCATTAGTCAAATCCGTGTTTCTACCTTGTCCACTGTTTCTCCTGGTTCCTCCAGGCAGTGTATACTGAAGCCCCACACCTCCCCTTTAATGGTGCCAGTTTCCCACAACAGAGACAGTGCCTAACCCAGCCGTCAGTATCTCTGTCTCCTAAAGGTTAACTCAGTTCACATCTGTCATTTATCAAGGATGGCCAGGACACTACCCTCAATTTGTAGGGAGAAGCTCTGGCCTTGTAAATAAAGCAGCCAGTTATAAAATGAAATGACCTAAGCTGATGGAGGCTTCCCAAGCATCTGAGAAAATAGCTCACTGTGAATGCCTGATCCTTGATCTGCTGAGAAAGCTGGTGACAGTCTGTTCTCATTCTCCTAGACTTTTAACTTTTTTTTAAAATTATTTATTTATTATGTATACAATATTCTGTCTGTTTGTATGCCTGCAGGCCAGAAGAGGGCACCAGATCCCATTACTGATGGTTGTGAGCCACCATGTGGTTGCTGGGAATTGAACTCAGGACCTTTGGAAGAAAAGGCAATGCTCTTAACCTCTGAGCCATCTCTCCAGCCCCGACTTTTAACTTTTTATTTCTTTATTTCTACATTCTTATTTCTGGAAACTACATTTTTTATTTTCTTATTCTGGGACTCTTCAACAGGACTGCTTGATGAACTGGACATGCAGGACCCATAGAGAACTGTACTTGCCTACAGAAGGTGAGACATCTTTTGGGGTTCCTGCTTCATGAAAGAGTCTGCCAGACATTCTTCAGGACACAGAAAAAAGTGACTGACAAACTGCCAATATGGGTAGAACTGTCTTTGAAATGTCCTGCTTTATGGAAGTCTGCCGGATACTACGGGCCTGTAGGTTAAAGATAGATGCTCCAATGGTACAGAAGAACTTTGAGTGACT